TATAAATATTTATATAGATATTATAAATATATGAACGCAGTATATTTATAAGTTCACAATCATATGCAATAAATATTCATTACTGATACACAAAATAAGCTGTATTTTAAATATAATGCAATTTATATTTTGTAACATGTTACTAAAATGTTAGTAACTCCTCCCATGAAACACATATAGTGAGGGGAGAAGGAAAGACTAATAGTTCCCTGCAGTGCTGTGCATAAGAAGTATTTGTATTTATTTAAAGGGGTTAGCAAAGGCTGTTGTCTCTGCTTTGAGATGGAATGAAAATAATAGGCTATATTATTTATAGCTATTTAGAAATTAAAAAAAGAAAGTATTTTCCCTAACCATCCAAAGAGGCTGATACCTCTAGGGGGATATGAATGTTGTTTGCAGGTATTTCTATTCTCCACAGTCTCCTATTCTTGTTAAACTTCTTATAAACTTGCAAGCAACATAACACAGTTGACGTATGTTGGCCAAATTATTTTTATGTGATTTTTAGAAGATAAATGGTAAAGGTAAAAAAAAAATTAAAAATCAGTCTCCAAAATGTCATGTCTGTTTTCCCAAGCCTTCTCCCCGTGACCCACAGGGAAGTATCATGGTGCCAGGAGCACTATGCCTTCCTCTGCAGTTGTGTTAAAAGTTGCACTGCAACGTTCAACTGAGACATTAATTAAAAACAAACCCCCACCAAACCTAAAAGTCTCTGAAATGCTATGGCAATTATGTACCTAAATTGAACTTTAATGAGAGTGCTCAATCTGTGTTGGTAATTGTGGCTGCTGTTTATTTACAACTGCTATGTACCTGCTGATATGCACAGCTGCTGCTGCGCAGTCACTGATAGCTGTCCTCTAACACCTCAACAATTTTATGGCCATGGTGGATTTTTGCTCCTAGCATTTTGGCGGCTGGAAATTCACATGCGTGTTCCTGGAAATTTGAGATGATATGTACAATCTCCCAACAGACTGATGGAACAACTCAGGAATGAAAAGATATTAACTGGTGATGACACTTACCAGAAGGACCATCCATAGTCCCATGAATGCGGTCGCCAGTCCTCTGGGCCTAGGCTGACTGTCACTTGGAACACTTGAGTATACATCATGTGTGCCACCATCCCCAAGAGACCTGAGAAGCAGGGATTATAATAGGAATTTTTGTGCTAATATTTTTTATAATTCTTGAGATAGCTACTGCTGGAAGTGCTTTGAAAGCTCCAAAAAAGACTTTTTTGTACTTTTATGCCTCCTGTTCTACTATGGAGGAGGGAGCTGCATGGGCAGAGGAAAGGTGTGACAGAGCTCATTTTTTTACATCATACTGAATTCTCAATTAGGAGTTAAAGAAAGAAAATCGTTGAAGAAAATGTTGCACAATTAGCATCACCACCAACCTTGCTGCTGCAAAACAGGGGTATGCCACCCACAAGTTATCTCACTTAGCCCATCGCAGACAGGCCTCAGGTAAGAGAATAAGGAGAGAGGCTTCTGTAGGCAATGCAAGATTGAATGTGGTAATGCCGAGCAATGATATTTTATCTGAACACTTGGAAGTTACACAAGGAAGTTAAGTGAACACAGTATTCCTGATGATGTGTGGTGAGAGGAAACCATAGGTATACTTTTGAAGGTACAATGTTGATGATGCTTGCTTTTGTGACACCATTATATTTTGCTGAGATAACTACAACTGGGTGAAGATTATACAAGGTATTACACACTCATCTCACTGTGATGTTAAAGAACAGGGTTACGGTTAGATCACTAAGTTTGCTCTGCCACTTAGCTGGCCAGCCTGTATTTTCACATTTACACATCTCTCTAAGGAAAATCAAACCCCACTTTTCAAGAAGTGGTGGCCAGTAGCAGCTCTGATACTTGGAGAATTTTCTAGCTACAATAATTTGGGATGTGTCTGCTTTAGCACCTAGGCAGTGCAGCACAATGCTCCCAGCTGAGCTCACAAAAAGCACGGGTTCAGGCAGTTAGGTGAACTGTGGGGCAGGATTATAATTTTCCAAATACACCTGGGACCTGCAGATGTCAAAAGCCCTTTGTGCTGCAATGACAGTTCAGGGCACTTTGAAATACTGATGTTCTGCCATGGTGGAGTACAATGTGGTCCCATACGTTACACTTTGCTCCTTAACCAAAGTTGACATTTACTGTTATCTCTGACCATCCACTTTTTTCTGCAGTTGCCCTTCCTCCCTGTGGAAGATCCTGATTTTCCTCCTGTGGAAGATCCTGCTTACTTTCAGAGTCTAAAGCATTTCATTAGTCTCACCAGACATGGATGATTCAGGGCAATTCCAGGGGAGGGAAGCTGGAGAATGTCATGTTTGTGTTGTGGGTATGTTAAGCAGGACCTTCCCCAAGGCAAATGTCATATTTGATACAAACAACTGCAGAGGCTGAAAGAAGATATTTTATTACAAGAAGCTGTGGTGATTTGCTCAGCTGCTTCATGTTGCTGTGACACACTGGAAAGTTAGGAGGTGGAAAGAGCAATTCTCATTGGAAGAAATGATATTTCGGCAAGGTGGGCGGCCTAATGGGAGCACAGCAAACTGGTACACACCTTGCTTGTTTCTGGCTATATTTAATTTTCAGGATTCACTGGGAGCTTGCTGTACTTTTTAAATCAGTGGATTTCTCTCCAGCTGACAGTTATGGTGTTGATCTTAAAGTTTGGGATTTGCTCTTCCTATACCTACTGTCAGTAATTTTTCAACCTTAATAAAATATTACAGGCTGCCCTGAGGCATGTCATAGTCACTCAGAGCCATCAGGAGGTTTGACACAGCCAGGACTAGCTTCAGCAAGGCTGGTCCGCTGTGTTCTGTCATGCAAAACCTTAATGGGGTTCCAGCAATGTTCAGACTTTTCGCTGTGTGGGAGGCCAGGATGACAGTCCACTGATACAGGTGAGTAGGAGGTCATCAGCAAGTCCTGCTGTAACACAAGGACCACAGTGAAAATGTGGCATTTATTGCTTTATCTGCCTAATGTCAGGGAGGGTCGGGGACGGACATGTATGTGTCTGTGCTCTCAGTGGTGTTATGCCATTTATAAGCCATGTATAAGCTATAGCAAAACAATACGAGTCTTTCTTTCATTGTGCTGTTTCATGCACTTTCGGTTTGGTTTGTTCCTGATGCTACCTGTTGATTTGGTCTATTTTAGATACGCCTTGCCAAGTTCTCCATGGGGTTACCCTATGGTACTTTTTGGTGTATGTTTAATGGTCACATTTTGGATAAAATGACCTGGCTGTAACAAAAATCAACAAATGCTTTATTTACAAGATCATCTTTTCTTCCAACTGGCTGCTTAAGGCTGGACAAAGAGGACAAAATGCCTGTATGCCCACCCACCTGGGGTCCAGGGCAACAGATACTTGCAGGTGGAAAATCCTGATAATATGGTGGACTGGAGTGACTGGAGTGGATGGGAATGCAGAAACACTGACCATTTATAGCTGGTTTGAAACATTAGCCTTGCAGGACCAGAGCTGTTTCTAGGTGTCAGTAATGGGAGACCTTAAAGAGCTAAATTTGGAAGAGGCAATATATTTTAAAGCATTTTCAGATACCTTTACTAAAAATATTATTTATCGAATATATCACAGTAATTAAAATGCATTATTATAAATATTACATAAGAGACATGTAACTTTTTTTATTTGTATAAGGTTAAGAGGGTTACCAAAATCACAATGTTGTGGCAAGTTTTTACTGACTCATAAGAGGTTAAGAAACAGCAATAAGTGGCCACACTGTTAGGATAATTTTTCCTAACCTTTAGATGTTGAGCTATGAGAATATGAAGATCCCATTGCACTTTTGGGAGGGAACTCTAGCATGAATTTAATGAGAGGTGTGTTGCTCCAAGGCAAAGTCCTCTGCATTGCCTCATTTCTATTAAGCTGTGTCATTAGAAATATGCTAAGCTTAAATAAATATGCCTTTCTTCTTCCCTCTGATATCTCTGTCACTGAAAATAACAGCTAGCAGTGGTTTGGGCGGGTTGGGGTTTTTTTTTTTCCCCTTCCTATTTTTCTATCCTTTTTCCCTGTAAAATTTTAAAGTTTATATTTGAAACATCATGGCAATGTACTTATAAAAAGAGAAGGACAAAATAAAAATAGAAAGATGTGTAGGAAAGAAAACTTCATAATTCTTACAAAACTTTAAAACTGCAGTTAATCGTGAAGAGAAAGAGAAACAGCATGGAAATAATTGTTTGAATGCTGAAGAATTCCACATAGTTTGATTCTGAAACTTGAACTGACTTTTTTAAAAATCCAAATACATTCAAAGCTGAAAAATATGCTTTGGCCGTTTTTACCAGAATTTTTTTTGGTTTTGTCCTCTCATCTCTACTTCTGATCTAAGTTTTATACCAGTAACTGTATTTCACAATTTGAAGCTATCCCTGAAGATACAAGCTTCTTCACAGAAATGTACACTGCCTGCTATAATCTCTTTCAGCTTGAAATACAGCAGAATAAAATGCACTTTTATTACAGAAATTCTTTCTGCCAGGGAGGTCCATGCAGGAGTGCTCACAAAAGCCAGCTGTAGCTGGCTGCTTGCATCAATCCTGGGAAGTGGAGTTTTCAGCCAGCATAGAAGTGAAGGGGCACTTAATTACATGGTAAGATTTGATAACTTCTTTTAGAGAAGTGAGTTCCTCAATTTCATTCGCTGAAGGGCTCCAAGTACAGACCGAGCATGAAAATAGCCTGAAACAGTTGTTCAGAGAAATGTACATGTCCCCAAATTACTCGTGGGGTTGTTCCTAAGTGTGATTACTAGAACCCTTTTCATTCTCAATTTTGCTGATGAACAAGATGGGCTTCTTCCTTTGGTTTGAAACATCAAGCCTTCAGCTACTCTTACAATTAACACAGAAAAACAAATTTTCAACACTATATGTTTTTCATTTTCTATTGGATTATCAGTGTGATGATGCTGAAAATGGAGGCTCAGGCTATGGCTATGATAGTGGCTGTGTGGGCTGGGGGGAGGCTAATTACTACATTGCTGTTGTGAAATCAGGACTACATATTTTCACTTCTCCCTGGCAAGAGGCAAATTTATCATGTGGTCCTCGTTCCAAAGGAACAGAAAATTATAGTGAAAAATGTGATAGTGAAATGGGGATAAAAAAGTCTTGTAGCCCCATTTTTTATTCCTTCAAAGTTTTCAAAAGTTTTTTTGTTTTGTCATGGCTCCTGGGGCAAAAGGAAAACGGAAGGTTCATACCTGAAAGCACAGTGAAGACAGCAGCAAAGGCATTTAACTTGAGCCCATCTATCACACTGCTTGAATGGAAGAGCTCGAGGCACATAAGGCTGAATCCGACGACTAACAGCATGATATATAACACCTCAGATACTACTGATAACCACAGGACACCTGCAATGCACAAGAGCAGCAACCAGTCACTTATTTGGTAAATACTTTCAAGAGGTTAAAGTTGGTAACAAGTAATTAGGAAATCAGGAATATCTAGGAATAATTGTGTATTTGGAAAGTTGAAATTCAGCAAACCACCACCCAAACTCTGAAAAATAGAAAAAGTGGTGAATGAAGATGTGAAGAGTGGCAGGGTGGTAAAGATACTGCAGAAAGAACAGGCAGTTTCCTAAGATCTCAGCTTGGCTAAAGAACCCCTTTGGGTATATCTAGAACATCTTGGCTCCTCTGACTCAAACCATAGGACACAGAACCCATTTTTCCTCCCTGCGTCATGGTTTAGATGAACAGAATCTAGCACACATGGTGGTGATAGCACATAGGTGATAGGCACATAGCACCTTACAGTGTATGGGCTGGTGGGAGGTGAACAGGCTTGGGTACCTCTTTTTCACAAGGCTGTTCAAAGAAAATGTTTTCAGTCCAGGTTTTAAAATGCTTATCATAGAATAGTGTTGGGCCTGTTATTAGAAACTGGTGTCCTGCAGAATGACTGTTCTGACTTGGAGTGTTTGGATCCACTGTACAGACCTCCACTGCTGGGACTAATACGAAAACTGCCAGAATACCGGTGGGGTGGAGCCCGTTATTTATAACATATGCAGCTGAAAAGCTGCAGATACAAAATTTGGTCTGCCTTCTGTTTTCTCAACCCCTAGATACAATCCCTCAGGTGAAGGGCAGAGTTGATGTGCCCTCTTTGACCTGCACGTTCTGCAGGACTTTGGGGTTGTGCACAAGTAAGTGGGTCTGGCAGCATTTGGTAGTGTCCAACTGAGACTGATTCGTCCGCTGTAGATGTTACATTTGGAAATTTCAGCACAAAGCCTCTAGCAGGGTCTGCTGACTCTTTTAAAGTCACCAAGCCATGGGGTAAATTTGAGAGGATGGTAACAGATGATAATATTGAGTCCCTGCCAGCTTTCCAATTGCTGTTTCAGCACAAGAATCTGCTAGAATTCCTCAGTACATTTGCTAACCTGATTGCTAAGGAATCCACCTGGAAACAATGAGCAGTGATGGAAAATTTCAGCCTAAGCAGTTGAAACATGGAAAGTTAAGCATCTGAAGACAATGGCTTATATTAGAAAATGTTAGCTGTAACCATAGAGACTGCTACAGGCTTCACTTATATTAATACATTCTCTCCTCAATGTAAGAACGTATGTGTGATAATGCCTATAATTGAGCTTATCAAACCAGATATGCAGTCTCACTTTTCTCAAATGTTTGAGTGTCCTCTTAGTGACCAGGATGATCCCAACTCACATTTTGCCTGGGAACTTGTCTTTATAATTGCATCTAATTAATATGCACTATGCGTTGTTGCCACTGTATCTGACCTTTTGAGTTTTTAAACAATACTACAGAGATAGTAATAAACCTTTTAATTTCTCACAGTGACTGTGTGTGTAGTATTGCATCTATCAACAGCAAACAGCTGTTCATCTCACTCCTATTAGTCAACTTGGTATCAGGGCAACTGGCACACTTTTCCAAAAAGAAATATGAGTGAGAGACAGCAAGGGTGTTGTTCTGCGATACAGCAGGATTAAGAAGGGATTTTGCCTCATTTTCTCACAAACAGAAGTTTCTATGACAAGAGAATGATGAAATGGTTTGAGCTGGAAAGAATTAGGTTATGTAAACCTGACCTACAAACTGAGGCAGCAGAGAGCCTTAACTAACAAGTTCTAATTCATAAATGTCTCAGCCCCAACTTGAAAAAGTAATATACAACATATCTGTCCAGATGTTTATTACCCTGTTTCAACTCTTGAGGATACTCACTGCTGGTGTCTACACACAAGGGCAGTGCTGTAGTAGTGACTGCAGTTCAAGGCTGTGGTGTGGCTCTGTCCTCTACTTCCTTGGGTGAACAACAGGAAGGGTCGGGCTCAAAGAGCTGTAGTCAATGGGGTAACATCAGGCTGGTGGCCAGTCACTAGTGGTGTTCCCCAGGGCTCAATTTTAGGGCCAGCATTCTTCAATGTTTTTATCAATGACCTGGACACAGGAGTTGAGTGCATACTAAGAATGTTTGCTGATAATACTAAATTAAGAGGAGACATTGAGTCACTCAAGAGTAAAGTGGCCTTAGAGAGTGATCTTGGTAAATTTGAGAGCTGGGAAATCACCAACTGCATGAAATTTAACAAGGACAAATGCTGGATTCTGGGAGAGTGTTATCTTCGATGTACGTGTGGACTGGAGGAAAAGAGGCTGGAGTACAACCCTGAAGAAAGGGATCTGGGGGTTTGGTTGGTGGTTTGGAGGTTCAGTTGAGGTACCTCAGCTGTATACAAGTTTTATCTATTGCCAACTTACGAAGCAGTGCTTGAAGCTGGATGCTGTCGACACAAGTGTAGTGTGCTTGAGAAATAACAGGAAGCTGAAGAGATGCACATATGTCTTTTCTGGGAGGTTCCAGGTTGATATGACCAGAAGGCAAGTGAGCTGATGCTGCTAGAGGCAGCCTTGTGCACATTCAGAGTGACAGGAGGGCTCTGGGAGGTGAGTGTGGAGGGCATGGGGGCCCAGTTAGTGTTCTTTTATCCTGCTGGTGAAGCAGAAAGGCACAGGAGGAAGGAACACCTACTGTGTGGCTGGTGTCACAGGGAGTGCTTTGGCTTCTCTAACCACAGGGTCCTCTTTAAGGAACAAGGACTGCTGAGAGGAATGGGATCCACCTGGTCAAATGGGACAAGAGTGGTTTTGCCAAGAGGATAATCTTGCAAGGAGATCTTCAAACCTGATATGCTGGAGAAGGCTTGCCATAATTTGAAGAGCTGTAAGGGCATGGGGGACAGTGAGGAAGTGTCAGGGGGCTGGAGAACATGATATACAAGGTAAGGCAGAGGGAGCCTCACCCTCTCATCCTGTAGAAAAGAAGGTGAAGATCATCTTGTGTACAGCTACCTCATGGAAGGTTATAGACAACAGAGACAGATTCTTAGAGCTGAACAGGGGTACGATAAGACAAAATTTGCAACATCAGAAATTCCAGACTGAGCTAAGACAAAAGGTGGTCAAGCACTGGAAGAGGGACTCGGTGAGGCTGTGGGATCTCTGTCCTTGGAGACATTTAAATCTCCACTGGACATGGCCCTCAGC